AGCGCGCTGCCCCGAGCCGCCGTCCGCCGCTGAAGCGCCGGGCGCGGGCACCGCGCTGCCCGCCTGGATGCGCCTGTACTTCTACGGGATGCACGGGATCACCCTGGACGTGCTGGTGTCCTCGGCGCGGCTCTTCGCGCGCAGCCCAGACCTGCGGATGCTCGGCTTCTCCTCGCCCTACCGCTGCCTCTTGCACTCGCTCACGCACTTCGCCCTGGAGAAGCTCTACCTGCAGCGGCCGCGCTGCCCCAGCGCCTTCGTCTTCAACTTCCTCCTCTACCCCTCGGCCCACGTGGGGCTGCAGACCCTGGCTGGGCAGGCGCTGCTGGTGAGCGTGGGCGGCGGGCCGGGGGGCGCGGCGGCCCCGGGGGCTCTGGACCTGGCGTTGCAGTACGTGGTGGCGCTTTACCACGGCCAAGTGTTCCTGAAGCGCTTCCTGCGCCTGCGGTACCACGGGCAGCGGCGGCTGCAGCCACTGCACTGGGGCGCGCTGCCCGCCGCTCCTCCTGGGGCCGGGGTCCCCGCGACAGCTGGAGGCCGGCGGCGACGACCCTGGGGTCCCAGGGGTGCCGGAGGAGTCCCTAGCCAGGGACTCCCCGACCTGCTACGCTTTCTTTTCTTCGGAATGCACGGCTTTCTGGATGAAATCTTCTTTACCTTCTTTTTTAATGTGCTGGGCCAGGGGGACGGGACATCCAGCGGTCACACGTCGCTTTGGTCCTTCTTAATGTATGGCAGCTGCAGTTTTGTGGTGGAAAAGCTGTACTTCCACCTCCACTACAGCCGCGGCTGGGGCACCTGGAAACGGGTGCCCATCTACGTGCTCTTCATCTATGCTTGGGAGCTCTCCTGGGGCCTGGGACTTCGCACGTGCGGCGCTTGTTCCTGGGATTATTCTCACTATCCGCTCAATTTCATGGGCCTCATCACACTGTTGTACTTACCTGGGTGGATATTCCTCAGCGTGTACCAGGACCTACTTTCCAACGTGTTGTGGCGGGTGCAGTATGTACCAGCTAACTAAGACCGGCAAGATGAAAGAAGGAAAGAGAGAAAGAAAGAAAAAAAAAAGAAAGAAAGAAAACAAAGTCACTGGAATTTTACAAATGAATGCAATTTATTTTTTCACATTTTAGTCTTTTAATTTTTATACACTTTACTAAACTCTTCCAATCTGTTTTCTTTGACATTTTAATTTTTCTGAGTACTTGGGAATACTTTGAAATACTGTACTACTCGAAAATCATTGAAAGTACTAATTTATCAATATTTTAAAACCTTTATGGGCCCAAACAGCGAAGCCATTGTACCTTAATATCAAAAAGCTGTAGCATTCACATGCTTGGAGATAGATGGATGATAGCTGGTTTTTTTCTTTTTTAGTATAGAAGTTCTTCAAATCAGAGATCAGTGATTTCTACAAGATTTAGAGCCATTTTCTTACTTTTATTTTATTTTTAACCTGATTTTATGTTAATTTGTTGCTATATTTACCAATGACAGCTGAAACTCCTATATCTTGTACTTCTAAAACTGCAGTTCATAGCTCTTAAAGTGCCTCTGTCTAGCACACATGCAAAAAGAAACTGACAAGTGTGAAAAAAAAAAAAACCCTACAAACAGATTTTGAAATGAAAAATCTTTTTCTAACAACTCAACCAGGTGACACTGTGCTCAGATATTTGATCACTGACCTGGCAATGATTGCTGTGCAATCATTGGGTTAGCCTTAAACACCAAGCGTGTTGGTCAGATCCTGTGTTATCCGTAGCTGTAAATTTTGGTTACTGTGCAATACTGTAGAAGTTTACCCTACAGGTCCCAGGGCAAAGTGAAGCCAGAGCACCTTCCGTAGTATTCTGATGCTAAGGTACATTTGCTACCTGGAGATTCAAGAAAGAGAAACACAGCGCCTTGGAATAAACAACCTGAATGGTAACACTAATTACCTGAGGCCTAATTGTTTTCTATGATTACAGATATGTCTTTTCAGCATATTTCTGCCATGATTCATTTGTGCACACTTTTTTTTCCCCCTTCTGGACCCAGAGTTCTTGGACCAGGCCTGCTGAGGTAGTGCGCTTTGTAAATCAATGATAGCTTTTTGGTGACTTTTGAATAGCTGGAAGCTCCAAAGTTCCATGAGATGATGGAAACCATTTTAAGAAATCAAGTCTAATTAATTAATAAGGTACTATGAGTTTGCTGTTTTACTATATTTGGAGAAGACAACTCAATTGAGCATGGTTGAGATGAGGATGACTAATACCTTCTCTGCTTTCATTACAAAGATAATTAAGAAAACTTACAGAGTGTATTAATGAGTAAGTCCCTACTAATCATCCATTAAGCTGTGAAAGAGACATTTTTCTGTTTTCAAGAACCTATGGGAGTAGAAAAGAACATACATTTAGACTTAGACTTCATTCTGAGGGTGTCATATTTTAACCCACTCTATGAAGCCATAAGCTAAATTATAAATAATGCAGCAATGAACTCCACCTGTGAAGTGGGTCCTGTCAGTCTGTTCACTTTAGTTAGTCAAAGTTCAGTGGAAGGGCTGCGGAGATAGCTCAGTGATCTAAACACCTGCCTAGGCAAGCTCAAGGCCCTGGGTTCGAATCACAGTACAGCATGCTGAGCAGGCCACCAAGACCAGGCATGGTGGCACATGCCTGTAATCCCAGCACTAGGAAGACTGAAAACAGGAGGATCACTATGAGTCTGAGCTGCATGGTGAGACCCTGTACCAAATACATAAAATATTTTTAAAAATAAAAAAAGCTCAGTGGAAATTTTAACTATTTGCTGACTGAGAGTTTCACTGGAGATTTTTTATGACTGTTAGTCACAGGTCAAGGATTTCTGAAAATGACAATGAGAAAAATATCTCAGCATAGATAGGAAGTTAGGCAGGTGCTGAATGAGATGTTTGTAATTGAAATATGACATGCACACATGAACCCACGTTTTATAGGGCACCGCTTCACACAGCATGGTCTTGTGACCATCTTGCTAAATCTGTGACTTCTTGAAATATTTGCAACTATCCCGTCACATGCTGCTTCTCCATTCTGCAGACCTGCCTCACTCTCAGGGTGAAAAATCTGTCAAGAATTAGGAAAGCATGTTATTTTATCTTGCTTTTACTAGTAATGTCATGAAAAGGAAAGATCATGGTTTCCACCCATGGATCTCACTTGAGGAATCATTTCTGAGCTTCTATCATTTGTGAAGTGCTTCTGCAGGAGCTGGGCTGCTGCAGCGAGCTGACACAGACAAACTTGTTTTGATTTGTGTGCGATTATACTCATTCACAAAGTTCATGTTTTCACACTTGGCTACAAGTGTGAACTGTCACCAGGGCTGTCCCTGGGACATCAGTCCATCATCCCTAATAGAAGCCCACTCACAGTCCTTCTGCCAGTTGCACAAGACCCAGTTCTGTATCCAGCAAGCTATTAGCCTAGCTATTCAACCGCCACCTTGCTTGAGGGCACCACGTTCTGTGTTTATGCAACTTAGCACTGATATTTTGCTGTAACCTTTGAACTTTTAAGGAAAAATCAGAGAAAAGAAAGAGCTATCAGATCATTTAATTTTGTTACTCAGTAGTTAGAATATAAAACTGATAAGACAGTATAATGATAGTTAATATTTACATAGCATTTACCTCCTGCGAAGAACTGCTCTAAGACATATATACACATACATATGTATACATATATATATATACATATGGTTATATAAATATCTTGAGTGAATATACATCTTATATGTATATATAATATTTAAATATAAGCTTATATAAGTATATATATTCACTTAAACCTCTAATGGCTCTCATTTTATAGATGAAGACAACAAAGCTGAAGCCCAAATAGATTAAATAATTTTGCAACTCATATAGCTATTGAGCATTTAGATTTGAGTCCATGTAGATGGGATTCCAGGGTCTGTTCTTAGAAGCAAGATGGCTACATCTAATCTACTGGTCACAATAATTTTGGATCTTTTATGGATTTCATTTTACAACCTATATTCAGCTCTTTCACTAATACATATGTCAGGGTAGTTGTATAAAGGCTACACACTATTATACACAAAGATGTTGTCACACTGCCCTGCTTATTATATTGTAAGTAGGAAGAGAGCTAATAGCAGAATACATTACTGACCAAAAGCCAAATGGTGCTCAGACATAGAGTTCTGTGTTTAAAATCAGATAATTTTTCATAGAAAAGTATAAGAACAATAAGTTAAGAGTTAGATACCTCATATCATAAGCTACTAAAATCCTATAATTATTTCTACTGTGTCAAATACAGTACTCAGATTAAGTATTTCTATAAGAGCTAAGCTTCCAAAAATTAAATATTTTACACATATTTATCACACATTTCACTAAATACCTGAGACTAAAAAAAATGTATAATAGTAAAATTTGAAAAGTAACAACTATAATTTTTTGTCTATGTTTAACATAGACAGTTGTGGAATTTCTTATGTATTAGAAGGGCTTTAAATCTTAAATCAATTGCATTGATTCCTTTTAATCTGAAAAAGGAATGTAATGTTTCCAATTTCTCATTTAACAACAAATATAGAAGTTCCTATATCATGTTAAGATCTCAATAAGCTTGATAATCCATTTCTATGTTTCAAACATTTCAGTGATTCAGTGTACTTAACTGTAACTATTTTCTTGTAAATGTTTGACATCTCATACTTCAATCTGACAAAACATGAAGCTCAGAAAAATATGACCTGTCTTTTATTGTTTAAGAAGCATGTTTAATTAGATAATTCTACCTTCTCAGAGAAAAAGAAAAAAATTATGATTTTGAAATATCTTTCATCATGATGCTTTGTTCTATTTAAGAATGATGGTGAAGAAAGATTTTTGTAGACTGCTTTTGTTCTTTTTCTACTTCCAAAATCCATGAAAATCAATATGTCTGAAATAGAAATTATACTCCTGATATATAGGGTTAGAGTAGTAAATAAAACAATATAATATCTGAAAGCATTTTAATAAAATCGCACTTCTTTATATTAAAATTCTTTCATTTTTCACTTAATTTTAAACGTACTATGCCAACATTACTTCCTGGAGCAAAGCCTCTGTTACTGGAGAGAAGTACAAACCGAATATGGTCCTTCCGCTCCCTTCCCCAAATACACACTTAGTTTATGCTAGAAGGAAATCACAGGTAAAGGTGATTCCACTGTACTGCTGATACCCCTCGCCCCTTGGGCTTAGTACCAGCGCAAGGGAGAAAACCCGCAGGTATTTTTGAGTGTACTTCTAGTAACCGGATTTGTCTTCATTCTAATTTTTACCACTGAGACAAGAAGCCATCACACAGACTGCAGTTTCCAGTCACCAGCAATACAAATTAAAAATCAACCACAATGTGTGTACAAAAACTTTTCTTCAAACAATACTGTTTATCTTAATAAAAAGAAAATAGAAAATAGAGAAGTCCCATCAATTTTTAGATTATCATTGCAAAAATTGTCAAGAAAATTAGCAGACCAGGGGGAGAAGGAATAGGTCCAGCACTTACAGAAAGGTTTAATTTTCTTCTTACTTCGTATTACAGTGGAAAAATCCCATGCGCCAAATTCCCCTAGTAGAAAAATATTAAGTTTATGATGATTAAAGAGAATTAGAGGGTGGAAGAATCTATGAAAGTTAACAACATCAAGTTGTCTACCAAAAACAAGAATTGACATCTTGAAGGACAAATTCTCAACTCTGTTTCAACCGACTATTTGTGCCAGTATTAATTTTTTTCAGACAAAGAAATAAATAAAGGGAACGCTCTCCTCAGTTGAGTTAATAAACTGCACTATCAGTGAAGAGGGCTTCTAAAATGTTCCCAAGTTAATCTATACCATTCAGTCTTCTCACTTAATACAATAAAACCTCTTTAAAGAAAGGTTTTACTCATTTTTTGGAAATCAGTATTTCATTCTTTGTCATATTTGGGTATTCTTACATCTTTTCAAGTGGTGCAT